CCCTTCCCTTCCCTCCCCTCCCCTCCCCTCCCCTCCCCTCCTCTTTATTTCTCTCTCTCTCTCCAGACAAACTGAAATCGTCAAAATCTCTTCATATGCAAAACCGACAGTGCTGACCCTCTTTAGTTATATACAAAGCAGCTAGAATCAGATTAAAAGGGGGAAAAATTCATGATAGCATTCCCAGCCATTATGCCTGCATATACCCATGCAAGATCCACACAAATTTAAGCACCATTTAATCTCTGGCTTGAAACCAAAAGAGGTTTCAGCATGTGCTTAACTCTTTCATGGAACTCAGTGGCTTACAGAAGTGAGGAACTTCTAGTACGTTGTGCCTGCTTTCCCCAAGATGTATCTGAATGCAGAGTAAAAGAGTCACCATCACAATATTATATCCCAATATTATAATTTCCTGAAATAAAGAAGAGAAAATATGGAGGGAATCAAAGTGAGAGAAAAGCGTGGCTGGGGAAATAAGATAGTCCTCTTCAGGACAGACTCAGTTACAGTGGCAATGAGTTGGGAGACCTGAAAGACCAGGTTAGGGATAGATCGTCATGGAGAAAAACTATTTATGTGGTCACCAGGAGCTGAAAATGACTTGATGGCACATAATCAATTGGTTAATCAATCAATCTTCAGGTACTTGAAGGAATGTCACACAGAAAAGCATCATGATCTGTTTACCGCCCTTTCTAGCAGGAAATAGAAGCACAGTCTTCAGGTATAGGAAGGCGTGTTCTGGTTGAATATTAGGCAAAAGCATGTTGGCAATGGAATATTTACCTACCATACAATGTGAAGTACTATCTGTTCAGGCAGAGGCTTGACAGAGATAAATTACTTACTTAAATAAAATAATAAAATATAAAATAATAAAAATAATTTTACTTAAATAAAATAAAAGATAAATTACCCTAGATGGGTAATGAAATGTCTGCAAAAAACAGCCAAACTCAGAGAATCTCAAGGACTCCATAGAGATAAATTTCACCAAGCTGACATTAGATTCAGTGAATCTAATACGGCCTCTTTCAACTCAGTGATGGACTAGTTCTACCCTATCATGTTGCCATAGGTAGAACTTGAATTCCAACTGAAATCAGAGCGATTTCTTGGGATACGGCACTCCTTTTCACATGTGATTATTATCCATGGCTATGCAGATTTTCAGAAGGAGGAGAAAAAAGGGGGAAAAATACAAACAGAAATAGAAGCAGAAGCAAACCCAAAGTACATAATGAAAGAGAGAGAGAGATGAAAGGAAAAGGCCAGTTTTTAAATAACAAATTAAATCTTGAACACATCAAGTAATAGTGATTGGACT